GCCTCGGAAACCCAAGGAGGGGTCACTATGAGTTGGGTCTGACTCGATGGCACATAAGGCACACAACAACAACACAGTTTCCAAAGCTGTAATTTTTATGGAATCAGACTGACACATCTTTATCCTGCAAAACAATAAGTAAGTTCAAACCTCTAACCTTCCATTAGCAGCCAAGAGCTTACCCACTGTGCCAGAGCTACTAAATATTCCAAATTACCTCGCTATACTGTAAGTAATCACTGTCCATTTATCCACATTTGAGGTAACAAAATATCACTAATCCTTCAAAGTGATGCTCAAATGCTACCTTTGATAATGTTCAATTTGAAAGGGAAAACAAGTACTATTTGCTCAGAATTAATTACATATATAATAGTGTGTTTTAGACATAACTTGTTAATTAATTCTTACTGCTAGATAAACAACAGTAACTCACATCTTAAAATGAGAATAAAAAGATGCAGAAAATGGCATAGCTGAATTCAAATCAAGTCTGACTCCAAAAATGTTTTTATAACTCACACTACTTTCCAGACAAAATTTCAGATATATTGCCTTCCAATGTAGCTATGTAGCTAGCTACCATCTTCTGCTACTATAAACACAACTAAATGGAAACACCATAAAACCCAACCATAGAACCTACACAATGTGCCTGACAAAACAGGCACTTATCATGGAACTATTTCTTTTTCCAAGGAAATCATAGAGTTTCATACAACAGGTAAAATAGTTATCAACTTCTCTACACTGGACCAGGCATCTGACATTAATAAGTGAGGTCAGAGACAGATCTAACATACCTGCTTCCTTCTTCTTGAAGTGTTTTCCAATAGAAATTTCCCAGAATGCCATAATTTATGAGGTATAAAAAAATTCCATTTTCAGTCAATTACCGAACTAAATGAATTTTTTCCCATCTACTCTTTCACTGGTGCCTTGTATTACATATTCAAGAAAAAGAAAGTGGCATAACAATTTGAAAACCTTACTGGCTACTACTGGTTTCTGGACCATAGTTTCAAACATTCAATCAATGCTGTAAATCATAATTTTAAAAATTCAAAGAACTGTAAAATCTGATGAGAACTAATTACCCCAAACCTCTCACTTTATAAAAAAAGAAGTCAAACAGAAAGCTAGAATGGAAACAAATTTGCTCTGTAAACTTTTACCCAAATCATAATTTAAAAAAGAAAGAAAGAATAAATAAGATACTATATGGCAAAAAAAAAAAAAAAAGCAACTGGCCCAAGATCATTAGCCAGTGAGAAAGTCAGTCCTAAAACTCATCTTTTCAGACTACACTACATTTCTACAAAAACCAGTTTTGGCTGCCTGAAGTATGTGTTACATCAAAATTATATATGATTTCATAGGTCACGATTACACAAAACTAACATATAAAATCTTGGCACAAATTCAAAAACTTGTTCCGTCCAAACACAGTATTTTTTAGGTCTCACGAATTGCCCACTGCAATATAAAACCCTGTTAGTAGGTGACTGAGCACAACTTTAAAATCCAATATGGTGTGGCCTCAAACTCCTTCTTTCTATGTTGCAGGGTGCCATCAAAGCAATTCTGAATCATGGCGATTTGTAAAGATGTGATGTAACTCTAAAAGTATGAGTAGTTTCGTTCTTGCTCAATATGAGCACAATCAAACCCACCTGCACTTCTGATTCCAAAAAAGTAAAGCCCCTATGAGACCAGAAGAACTAGATGGTGCCCAGCTACCACTGTAAACCACCTGGAGGGGGATCTATGTAGGAGATCCTGGATAGAGTGAGAGAACAATGTGGGACAAAACTCAAAATCATTTAAAGAAAAAGAGGGGGAGGGACCAATTTTGCTGGTCTGATAGAGCCTGGTGGAACCACTGAGACTTATGGCCCCTAGCTGTCCTTTAGGTCTGGAATTGAACCCACACCTGTGACTTTCAGACAAACAAAAGACAGGCATATGAGTTGAACATATACCTGAGGTAGATACACTCCTTGCAGAGAACAATCATGGGAGAAAGAAGGGCTGTGTATGCACAGGGAGACAGCTCAGGGGACAGGAGTGCATGGAGGGATGGATACAGGGAAGAGGTAACTATTGGAAGGAAGTGGGAGGGGAGCTGTTGCCCTGAGTTAAACTGTAGTCAATGTCATGAGACAAAGTGTATGTGAACTGCTGTATAGAAAATGAATTCGCTCTGTAAATTTTCACCCAAATCACAATTAAAAAAAAAAAAGAAACAGGTAATGTAAAGCACAGTATGATTCCATTGTAGCATGGCAAGCAGGCATTTTGCTAGCTTTAGAAAGAAGTGAGGAAGAGATCAGATAACTGAATATTAGCATAAGAGAAGCACAGTTTAAAGAAATTAAGAGATTTACCTTAATAGCTTCCACTTGTTGGCAGATCATTTTCAGCAAAGAATTTTGATCTTCTGCCCATCGAGGTGGTGTTTTGGGAGAAAACTAAAAAATAACAATAACAACAACAACAAAAAATAGTATTTAGAACAAAAACATATTCCACAATGGAGTAATTCATAATAGAATCCTATACTTACCTTATAACTTTTACTTGGTGACAGTGAGTATTTGGTGGGAGATGGTGTAGAATGTTTTAGTTCTGAATCTGCATTTCGCAAAGAACCATTTTTATAAAGAGGACCTCCTTCACTATAGTCTTCTAGCTCTTGCATGACTGAATTGAGCATTTCCTTTACAGATTCCAGAGGCACGGGTAACTAAACACAAAAGGCATTAATCAAGGCCTTTAGTTTACCAATGGCTTTCTTGTGGCGAAGTGGTTAATGCATTCAGCTACCTTATCAAAAGGTCAACAGTTCAAACCCACCAGCTCCTCTGTGGGAGAAAGAGGTAGTCTGCTTCTGTAAAGATTTACAGCTTTGGAAACCCTAGTAGGAAATGACTTGATGGCAGTGAATTTGGTTTGGTAACTTTACAAAAATATCAAAGTAAGAACTCTGAAATTAATAAAAAGATTTTCTTACTATTTATATTTTACTCACTTTTGTATAGCAAGCGCTCTCTACTTTAAGTAACACATGCAAAAGCTTTATAATCATAAAACTCTTAAAATAAAAGTCTTCTGACTCTACATCCATGCTGTTTCTATTACTTCTATCAGACATAAGTTAGTAGAAGGTAAACAACTTGGGAAGTTATCCCAAGTGAACAAAATAAATAAATTACTGATGTTTTCTAATTGATTTTGAGTATGAAAAAATACAGATGCTACATTGCATTAGACAACACAAATCCAAATCCAAGAACAGTAACACAAATTAATCAACAGGATACTTAGAAGGAAAGCTGCACATGATTAAGTTACTGTCATAGACACTCTCAAATTACTGACAGCTGGAAATAAGTGTGTCCACAGTAGATGAGAAGAAAAGCATCTGAAGTTTTCAGCAACAACTTTCAATTTTACCAAAAAGTTTAACTGCCAATTATTTATTTTGATCACACTGCTGTGATAACACAAGTAATGGGATCTTACTTTAGAAACCACCTCTAATTTCTCAAAAAGTACTTGTTAAGAGTATATACCAAGATTCTCACAGTGTATGTCATGAAACAAATTTTGTGTATGAATGCCTGTATGGAAAATGAATTTGCTGGGTAAACTTTCAAGTAAATCACAATAAAATTTTTAAAAACTAAAAAAATAAAGGTGGCAAAAAGTTGACAATTGGGAGGGGAAGGAAATATACCAAGATTCTCAAGTTTAAAACACACATCAAATCTAAGACAAAGCTGTATCAATTAAACATTTACCCACATACACACACACATGCCTCCCATGCATTACTAACAAGGTATTACTAAGAATTTTTGAAATTACCAAAATATAAAACCAAGGCAAAAATATCTATCACTCAATTATCAATAATATAAAAGTATAGACAAAAACTTGCAACTTACTTTCTTAATCACTGATGGATTTGAATCACTATCATCTAAAATCTTTATTAGGTAGTCTCTGGTCTTTCTCAAGTAATTTTTGCATTCTTCCTGTTCTTCAGGAGAAAGGGCATCATTTTCAATGTCTTCTGCTTTCCTGTGAAAAATCTATACAAAGAGTGCTTTTATGAAACAATTCTTGAAAAACAAAACAAAAAAGTTTAATTCAAGTACCACAGCTGCTTACCAATGCAAGATTCCAGTAAGAAACAACATTCTTTATAGATTCAAAAGCAGTCATAGCATCTTCTATATTTCCATTAACTGCATCCAATATAGCAAACGTTATGTGTGCTTCTTCTTCATATTCACCAATTTCAGACATCTAAACAAAAATAGGTAATTTTCAGTCAAATTGCCTCCACTCAGAATATCAAACACAAACATTTTCCAAAGATTTTAGATAGCTAATGAGATTAAGATCACATTACTTTTTCCTGTTATATTTGTGACAGCTGGTGAATTTATAAAACAAGACTTCCAATTAAACAGCCAAGCAATTAACTTAAGCAGTCCCTATCTCCATTTCTTTGTTTATAAACTGGAAATCCGTTATCTCCATTTAATTCACAAAGAGATTCTCCCTTACCTGTATGTCTGCACTATGAAAATGTTTGAACAAAGGATCAGCAGGTTCAGGAATACTGGTCTTCTTTTTGATTGTCTTCAACAATGGCAATACTTTCTTCCAGTAATAAACACTTCTGCCTATGTATTCCCGTTGATCATAAAAAGAATTAAGCTCAGTGCCCTAAAATACAAAATTAGAAAAATACATAACCTAAGGGTACACATATCATCAGACCTAAAATACATTTACAAATGGTAAAAAACTGGTTAAAATTTCAAGTCAAGGAAATAAGACAATGATGTCTCTTCTTAGCTCTCCTATTCAACATTTCACTAGAAGTCCTAACTAATGTAATTAAAGAAGAAAAAGAAATTTAAAAAGTATACGGATTGGGAAGGAAAAAATAAGACTGCCCTTGTTTACAGACTGATTGTAAAACATCCTCAAAAATCAGTAAAATAACTCCTTGAACTAATAATAATGGATCATAGCAAAGGTGCATAATATAAGGCCAAAAAAAGCCATTTGCTTTTCTATACAAAACAAATGAACTGGAATATGAAATTAAAAACACAACACCATTTATACTAGCACCCCCAAAAATGCAGCTGTAAACTACAAAACTTTGATGAAAGAAATCAAAGATACCAATAAATGTTAAGATATTCCATATTCACAGATAGGAAGATATTAAGATGCTGATTTCTCAAACTTGATCTACAGATTCAATATAACCCAATCAAAATTCCATCAAGTTATTTTGTGGATATCAACAAAGTTATTCCACCACAATAGTGAAGAACAGAGTTGGAAGACTAATACTACCCAATTTTAAGGCTAACTATTAAGTTACAGTGATCCAGACAGGGTGGAACTGGCAAAGAAGTTGACAAATAAGTCAGCAGAAAAGGAAAAAGAAACCCAGAAACAGTCCTATCCTCAACTAATCTCTAGAAAGGAGCAAAGGCAATTCAAGGGAGAAAGCAAAGCCTTGACAACAAATGGTGCTGGAACATGGGGCAAAAAAAAAAAAACTGATTCTAGACATAGTTCTATTTTTCACAATAGTTAACTCAATATGGATCACAGAGCTAAGTTAAGATGCAATATTATACAACTTCTAGAAGACAGGAGAAAATTCTAGGTACCCTTAGGTTTCACAACGGCTTTTTTTTTCCCTGGTTTTGATGTTGGCCAGTCTAGGCAATGGATGGCAGGAAACAATGACTTTTTATATATGACACCAAAAGCATAATTCATAAAAGAAAAAACTGATGAATTGGACTGCATGAAAATTAAAAACTTCTGCTCTGTGAAAGATAGTGTTAAGACAGTGAAAAGACAAGCCACAGACTGGAAGAAAATATCTACAAAATACCTATCTGATAAAAGACTTGTATACAAATTATACAAAGAACTCTTAAAACTTGACAGGCAATCCTATTACAAAATAAGGGAAAGATCTGAAAAAACCACAGTAACACTGACATAGCACTACACATCTATTAGAGACTCTAAAAGTCAAAACACTGACAAGACCAAATGCTGGTGAGAATGTTGAGCAACTGAACTCTCAGTCACTTCTGGTGGGAATGCAAAATGGGAAGACATTCTGGCAGTTTCTTACAAAGCTAAACACAGACTCTGTGATAGCTGGAGCTGTGTGTCAACGTGGCTGGACCATAATTCTGTGTGGTTTAAGCAACTGTGATATGGATTGTTCCCATGATGGGAGCAGATGTTTATGTTTTGAGCAGCCAAACCACTGAAAGGGAATTTCCCTAGGGTTGTGGCCTGCTTCCAGTATATTTATGGACATCGTGGGAAAAGAGACACTCTTCTGTAGATCGAGATTCTGTTGTGCTGCCTATAACTGTCCATGAGCAAACAATCCACCATTCGGCCTGGATATCTTGGATTTGTCATTTGTTGGAGTCAGGAGCCAGAATACTGGAGCTCTGGTAGCATAGTGCCCAAGGCACTTGACTGCTAACCAGAAGGCTGGCGGTTCAAACCCACCAGCCACTCCTCGGAAGGAAGGTTGGGTAATCCTACTTCCATAATGATACTGCCTCGGAAACCCAAGGAGGGGTTGCTATGAGTCGGGGCCGACTCAATGGCAAATAACAGCAACAACAACAACAACCTTGCGGTCATCAGCTCTTGCAGTTGGGAAAAGCCTCCAGCCTGACGTTTGATCCAAGAACTTGGGACTTGCCAGCTTCTATAAGTGTGTGTGAGCCATTTTCCTAAGATAAATTTCTGTCTCTCTCTCTCTCTCTCTAAGCTTTACTGGTTTTGCTTCTCTAGAGAACCCGTCTAACACAGACTCTACAGTTGTGCTCCCAGACATTTACCCAAATGAGTTGAAAATATATGTGCACATAAAAACTTACACACAAATGTTCACAGCAGCTTCACTTAGGTGCCAAAAATCAGAACTACAATAACCTTCAATAGGTGACTGGCTAAGAAAACCCTGTGGTACATCCACACAATGGAATATTATTTAGTGATAAAAAGAAATGATATATCAAGCTAGGAAAAGTCATGCAGGAACCTTAGCAATGTATACTGCTAAACCTGGTGAAAGAAGTCAAGCTAAAAAGATACATACTATATGATTTCAACTACACGACATTCTAGAAAAGGCAATACCATAGAGACAGTAGAAAGATCAGTGGTTGTCAGGGATTTGTGAGTGGGAATGGGGGACTGTAATGAACAGGTGGAGCACTGAGAATATTTACGACAATTACACTCTTATGTATGATACAGTAAAATAGCAGATACATGAGACTAGACACTTGTCAAAACTCACAGGACTGTATAACAGAGTGAATCCTAATGTAAACTATAGACTTTAGTTAATAATAAAGTATCAATATTCTTTCATCAACTGAAACAAATGTACCACATTAATTAATCCAAGATGTTAGTAAAGGGAAACTGCAGTGGGGAGAAGAGTTATAAGGGAAGTCTATACTTTCTGTGCAATTTGTCTGTAAACCTAAAAGTACTTTAAAAAATAAAGCCCACTAAAAAATTTTTCAAATCAAAGTCAAATAGAATTTCAAAAGTCATTTGCTCACTGATGGAACCACTGAGACTATGGCCCCTAGCTGCCCTTCAGGTCTGGAACTGAACCCACTCCTACAGCTTCCAGCCAAACAAAAGATAGGCATATGAGCTGAACATTTACATTAGGTAGATACACTCCTTGGAAAGAACAATCATGGGAGAATAGAAGGGCTATGTATACACAGGGAGATAGCTCAGGGGGGCAGGTGCGCATGGGAGGGAAAGACATAGGGAAGAGGTAACTATGGGGAGGAAGTGGGAGGGGAGCAGTTGCATTTGGGTAAACTGTAGTCATTGTCATGAGACAAAGTGTATGTGAGCTGCTGTATGGAAAGTGCATTTGCTCTGTAAACTTTTGCCCAAATCACACACAAAAAAGAGTTTTTTTAAAAAAAAAAATTTGCTCAACATACCAAACATTGGAATAAATAACAAAACACCAGTGATCCTTGTAGATCTAACTTTTAAACATTTCCAATGACAATACCTAATAAGTGAGCCCAATCCATTTTTAAGAGTTTTTGGTTTTATACAACCAAAATCTGCCTCTCTCTAGTAAGTTCAGTCAAAGAACTAGTCATCCATAATAATTCTTTCACCAAATCAAATCAAAACCAAATCCACAGCCATCGAGTCAATTATGACTCTTATCAACCCTACAGGACAGAGCCGAACTGTCCCACAGGGTTTCCCAGGCTGTAAATCTTTACAGATACAGACTACCTCATCTTTCTCTTATGGAGCAGCTGATGGATTCAAACCGGTTAGCAGACAAATGCCTTAACTATTGCACCACCAGACCTCCTTTGCACAGAACAGACCTCAAATATTTAGAAGTCATTATGCCCTGACCTGCAAAGCTTTGAGCTACCTCACGTATAAAGGCTTTTTCAGCCTGAGCAGTAATTATCATAACAATAATTAAGTAGTAATTGTTAATACTTACAAAGCAGTTTCTATGTGTTGGGCACTATTTCAAGTGCTTACATATATACTGGGAGCTCTGGTGGTGTAGTGCCTGAGGCATCTGACTGCTAACCAGAAGGCTGGCGGTTCAAACCCACCAGCCACTCCCCGGAAGGAAGATTAGGCAATCTACTTCTATAGTGATACCGCGTCGGAAACCCAAGGACGGGTCGCTATGAGTTGGATCCAGTTCAGTGGCAGAGAGTTACATATATAAACTACTTTGTGGCAAGATTAAAAATTACATTTTATCTGGCATAGTCTGAACAAGCACTACTATTTTCATGACCAAAAAACTTCCAATTAAAAGTGTAGTATTTTTAAAAACTAAAGCAATGCTCTTAATAAATGTTTACACTTTAACAAACTCACTGTTTTCTGAAGACATTTTGCCCAATATACAAGCAGAGCAGGTTGAAGGCCATGTTTCTCCTGACCCCTTAGGGTGTTTATTTCATGCTGAACCAGAAGTCGCAATTTTGCCGAGGTTCCAGGTCTAAAAACAGTTTCATTTAATGAAATAACTTTATAAATGCATATCAACATTTAATGTGTAGTAACTATCATGTGAGAATTACATTAAATTTCTCGTAAAACCTAGGCAGTAAGCTAAAGGAATATTTTTTGTTTTATTACTTACAATGCCTTTCTGTGAATCAGATTACAAACTGCATCCCACCAAGATTTTTGTCTTTCTGTACAAAGCTGTTTACACACAGGAAGCGGTAAGCACAATGGCCGATAGGACTTGTAGTGAGAATTACATTTCTCTTTTAATTGTAAGTGGCTTGTGTATATTACTCCAAGCAGAAATACCTGTTTCAGTTAAAGAAAAATAAGTTAGAAAAAATTAAACAAAACTCAAAATATATTTCATCTATTTAAAATACATGCTTACTTCAAGATCTAAAATACATATTGATTCAGGGGCATTTGTTTCAAGTCTTGAAGTTTCCTGAGGCAAATGATGAAAAAGCTGTTTTAGCCATTTTCGAATTGCAGGTAAGATGGACAGTGAATTCCACTGTAAGCCAAGCCAAGTAAGGTGCTGAAGACTACCATTATGTGCTCGAATGGCACCTGAAAGAAAGGAAAACAATAGGCTTGAGTATCTGGAAAGTTTTTTTTTTTTGTGACCAGTTTTTACAACATAAGCAATTGACTCACATTAAGTGCGTCTTAATTTTACAACTGCTTTTATGTATCACAGCTGGGAAAAGTTTCACAGCTAATTCTCATGGTTGTATTAAATGTATCCACACTTCATATCTAGGAATTTTAATTAAAAACAATTATATTGGACAAAGTTCTTCATAAAGTTTGTCTAAGAAACAAGAAACTCACTAAAAACTGAAAAACTAACCTGACTACCACTGAGTCAATTTTGACTCATGGCAACCCTATAGGACAGAGTAGAACTGTCCCATAGGGTTTTTAAGGCTGTAAATCTTTACGGAAACAGACTACCACATTTTCTCCTGTGGAGTGACTGGTGGGTTCCAACCGCCAAATTGATTAGAGGCCAAGTTACCCATTGCACCACCATCAAACTAAAAAAAAAAAAAAAAAAGCAATGACAGGCAAAATAAAGAAAACCATTCAAGAAATCTTGAAAAAGATTATAGTCATTAAGATAATGGGAGCCACTACCAATGGATTAATTAATCCATTAAGTCAGTGAAAAGAACTTTTCTTCTATAAAATTCCAGTACTGAAAAAGTTAAAGCTTCTGAAAACAAAGATGTACAACCTTGCTGACAATATGGCCATTTACATAAGACTGTTAAAAATGTTCACCTCCTTTGTCTCAGTATACCATTTTTTAAAACTCAGGAGTTCTGGTGGCATAGTGCCTAAAGCATTTGGCTGCTAACCAGAAGACTGGCAGTTCAAACCCATCAGCCACTCCTCAGAAAGAAGACTGGGCAATCTACTTCCATAGTAATACCGCCTCGGAAACCCAAGGAGAGGTCGCTATGAGACAGAACCAACTTGATGGCAGTGAATTTGGTTTTTTTCTTTTGGTTCTGGGAATAATACGAAATGCAGTTTATGAAAGTTTTCATCACAGTTAATTTTTTAATAAAGAAACATTAAAAATAACTTGGATGCCTAAAAATGGAAAATTATGTAAGAAAACCATGGCTAATTCATAAAAGAGATTATCTTACATTTAAGTGGTATTTTTAAAGAATCTAATATAAATAATATGGAGAAGCAACATGAAACAAGCAAAACAAATTTGGTATACCAAAAATAATTATTTAAAAGAAAAATATATGCAGTTTCCATCAACCCTTAAAAAAAAAACCTAAAAGGATTAACAGGAAAATATTAAGTCATTATTTCCATAAAATGAGTTATAAGAACTTTATTTTCTTTTGTTCTTCTCCTAATATTAAAAAACTAAAGATGCAGAATTTTTTTTTCCTGAAAGATACAACTTACCAACATCATATCTGGCCAAATCATCAGGCTCTGGCACTGTTACATCAATGTTTCCAATATCATCACTACCAAGGAAAGATCTATCCTGAGGTGACTGACTAGAAAACAGAGCATCATATAAAGCAGACTGCCCACTCTTATTGGCAAAGGATTCCACAACCTCTTTTAAAAAGTCTTGCTTGCCACGACTTAAGTTTACCAGCATGTGCCCTGAAAAACAAATAGTTACACCCATCATTTTTAAAATACAGATTGTATTTACTCACATCTATCAATACATTCATATATACCTGAAGGGGAAATACCATCATTACCTCAAATCTAAGCCTCCAACCACAACCATAACCAGAAAAAAAGGACGCTTATGTAGAAAATAAATATAGATTACATCTTTAATAGTATCAGCATCTACAATCTAGAATAGAAAGAAAAGATGAGAAGAATATATGTGAAAAATGTCAAGAGTACTTACAGTTTAGATGGAGAAGAAAAGTATAGGATTTAAGTGACTATAGGTAAGCAGAGCCAAGCCTAATTCTTCTGGTCAGATACACTAATTTATAAACCTAGCTGATACAAATCACCTTTCACAAAGCTATTTAGAAATATTTATTTCCAGGCACCACTCCCAGACATTCTTATTCCATACGTATAGAGTGAGGAATTTATTTTAAAAATACGGCTTAAATGAAGTACTAGTACATTCCACAGCATGGATGAGCCCTGAAATGATTATACTCAGTGAAAGAAACCAATCATAAACGGCAAGTTACTGGATGATTCCATTTGTATGGGAAAAAAAAAAACACTGCCACTGAATTGATTCCAACTCATAGTGACCCTAGAGAACAGAGGAGAACTGTCCCACTGGGTTTCCAAGGCTATGAATCGTTATGGAAGCAGATTGCCACATGTTTCTTCTGTGGAGCAGCTGCTGGGTTTGAACTGCTGAGTTAACTGAGTGCTTTAACATCTGTGCTGCCAGGGCTCATTTATATGAATGTCCAGAAAAAGGAAGAAGCCCTGGTAGCACAGTGGTTAAGGAGCTTAACTACTAATCCAAAAGTTGGCAGTTCAAACCCACCAGCTGCTCACTGGAGAAAGCTACTTCCATACAGATTTACAGCCTGATAAATCCTGAGGGACAGTTCTACTCTGTCCTACCAAGTCACTGAGTCGGAATTAACTTAATGGCAGTGGGAGTGCCCCACCCCCTTAAATCAAGAATAGAGGCAAAAAGTAGATTAATACTTGCCTACAGATGGGAAGAATAGGGTGGTATAGGAGTGGCTGCTAGTGAGTATGGAGTTTCTTTATGGTGTGATGTTCTAAAACTGATTGTGGTGGTTATGGTTACCCAATTCTATGAATATACTAAAAACTATTGAATTGTACATTTTAAATAGGTGAACTGGTGAATTACATCTCAATAACGTTTGTTGTTTTTTCCAAAAAGAAATAACTCCATGGGTTAATTCTGCTGATCAGTCAGGTTTGGTCACCAACAGATTACTGTCTCTCAACGAGCTTGCAGGGACATTCTCCAGAATGCCCCGTAACAAACAAACAAAAAAGCTACAGTTCATTTTTACCAAGAAGTCTTAGTACCTCAAGACAGTCTTGCTAAGGTAGAAGGGGAGCATAAAAGAAAAAAAAAAAATTGGGAATGACTTCATGGACTGAAAGTCTAATTACCACAAGCAGTCTTAAGCTGTGGGACAGAAGAACAATATAAACATTGGTTAATTCCCTTGATCAACAGCCTAACTACAGACCAAAGTTTACACTAACTTTGATTTAATACGATATCTTACTCTCTATAAAGTTCATTCAAGTTTATATAAAACTGCTTCCTACAAAAAGTATTATCCTTCTTCAGTTCATTCCTTGATTCACTGGATATGTGAATTTCTTAAAGTTTGTGCCCTAACAAAATTACAAATACATAATAGACCTTTAGGATCCATCCAAACAGTCAAAACTGGGAATAAATCTACAAATTCCAAGAGCTTAATAAAATGTGTATAGATATCTTCTATCTTCCTCACTATGGTGTCAGTTCCTCAAAAGATAGATTTCTAACTTCTTCATCATTATATCCCCCATACCACTGTTTTGCAATAATTACACAAAATTCAAGATATACTCTAACTATTAAAGACAGAGGCTCCAGCAGTTATATAAAGGAGGATTAAAGAGTTATCTCTATTAAGGCACAAAAAAAATATCAAATATTTGTTCCTTTTAAAGGCAATACTATTTCTACTAATTCTTTCCTTATCTATTGC